AAACCAGGGGCCCGGGCCGGGTGGCCAGGGCTCCCCCCCCTCCTCTTTGCCTTTCCCTTCCCAGGTGGGGCCAGGCTGAGAGAGAGGAAGTGACAAAGAGTCTCAGAGCCAGGCAAAGGTTTGAACCCTGCTCTCTCTCTCTCTCTCCTGAGTCCCTGCCCTGGGCTCCAGTCGCTCCCACACATCCCATCCCAGTGATCCTGCACCTTTTAAGTGAGAGACCCCGGTGGCTTCTTTCAGGGGGCCCAGGCAGGTGGCCTGAGGAAACACGGATCTCTCCGAGAAGCCAGGGCTCGGGCTGTGCTGGGGGCCTCTTTGCGGGCGGTGGGCGAAGGCTCGCCTGGCATGCGTTGGGGGCACCCGGGGCTTCTTTGGGTGGGCACTCCAGCCGCTCTCCAGGGGTGTGCGTGCCGTGTGCTGCGCCCCTCTGAGCATCCAGAGCGCGTGTGGGTGTTGCAGGGAGAGCGTTTGCTTGTGGGCGGGGAGTAGTTGGGCGGGCAGGATGCGGTCCCATCGCCTGCGTGGCCGGGCAGAGCTCCCCTCTTCTCTTCCTCAGTGCCTCTTGTCTCCTTTTCAGATCCTCCCGTGAGAACAGGCAGAAAAATGGGCTCCTCTGGGTTGGATTTCTGTGGAGCCCGACTCTAGGGGTGGAGGGGGCTCCGGACGAAGGCAAGAGGGTGCCGTTCGGGGAGCGGGAAGGTCCTCGGGAACCCAGGCCTCCTGTCCTCGTAAGAACCACCTGCAGGTGCGAGTCTACATCCCAGGCCTCATCCTGACCCCTTTGCAGCTCCTGGAGCAACCAGGAATCTCCTCTGAGTCGAATCGTAGCGTCCAGGCCTTGCAGCGGATCGTCTCCTCCTCGGGAATCCTGGGGGAGCCCCCCCAAGAGACGGCCGTCCACTGAAGGAGCGCCTCTGCCTCCCCCCCCGGGGGGGGGGAGATCCTCTGCTGCTCCAGAGCTTCCTGCAGGTTCCTCTGATCTGATCCGTTCCTGGGGTTGAATTGAGGAAGCGCCGAGGATGGAACTTGTTCTTCTGGAGAAGCCCCTTGGGGAAAGACCCCCCTAGCCTGTTTTTCCCCCACCCTTGGTGGCGATGTCGTGTTCCAGGGTCCGTCCCAGGTGCTCCCCGGCCCTTGGCCAGTCCCCCCGCCCCCAGGCTGTCTCGGACCTCACTGGGGCCTGACCCCCCCCCGGGCTCTCCTCTGCTTCTCCCTCGCCCCCATGGCCACCATGTGTCTGGAGTGGCTTGTGGGCTGGAGCGGCTCGCTGGACAGGCTGCGGGGCGTGATCGGCACCGGGGTCCAGTCGGTGCGGGACTGCGACGTCGCCGCCCTGGGCACGGTGGCCTTCC